AAACAGGTCTGGGGAGCTGGAAATGTCATCTGTTAAGTTTCGTCTCGGGGCACTTACTTAAAATGATGACTATTGACTGACCATAGCTTAGCGTGGTGCCTTAGCCTCCTCGAGTGTTAATATGTTTTCTTATAGACATATCGAACCAATGGATTTCGGGGGTGTCTTGGAGAAAAATCGTTAATGCTTGTTGTACACGTGAACTGAGTAAATTTATAATGTTTTTTTAGTTAATGAGCACGTTTACCAAACTGTTTGCACGCGTGAAAAAAATGTACATGCAAGTTACATGATGAGAGGATGCCACAGACATGTTGGCACCAGCGGTAGTTTAAAGTGCCAGCATAAGCATGGAACTCATGTATTATGTGCCCCAAAATGATGGCATGTATTTTCCTTAACACCAACAGCTTACATAATTCGAGACTGCTGAATGTGTAAAAATGAAATATACAGTCAATGGAATCATTGATTTAGTTGAGGTTATTATATTTGGACAGAGGCTCATGTCCATGTGAACGGTATTGCTGACAATACCTACTGTGTTCGGTATGAGCAGCATCAGGGTACTACATACATACACACACGCGCGCGCACACACATACATTTGTCTTAACGCCAAATAATGACTTACAGGATGGCATACATTTGTCTTAACACCAAATGATGACGTTAGAGCATGGCATACGATTGTCTTAACACCAAATGATGACGTTAGAGTATGGCATACGATTGTCTTAACACCAAATGATGACGTTAGAGTATGGCATACGATTGTCTTAACACCAAATGATGACGTTAGAGTATGGCATACCATTGTCTTAACACCAAATGATGACGTTAGAGTATGTCATGATTGTCTTAACACCAAATGATGACGTTAGAGTATGTCATGATTGTCTTAACACCAAGTGATGAGGTTATATGATGGCATACGATTGTCTTAACACCAAATGATGACTTGAGAGCATAGCATACGATTGTCTTAACACCAAATGATGACGTTGGAGCATGGCATACCATTGTCTTAACACCAAATGATGACGTTACAGTATGGCATACGATTGTCTTAACATCAAATGATGACGTAAGAGTATGATGCTGTTTATTTCAATATATTCATTTCAATTAAACCCTGCTTAAGTCTCTAATGATGACGTTAGAGTATGTCATACGATTGTCTTAATACCAAATGATGACGTTAGAGTATGGCATACGATTGTCTTAACATCAAATGATGACGTAAGAGTAACACCAAATGATGACGTTAGAGTATGTCATACGATTGTCTTAACATCAAATGATGACATAAGAGTATGATGCTGTTTATTTCAATATATTCATTTCAATTAAACCCTGCTTAAGTCTCTAATGATGACGTTAGAGTATGTCATACGATTGTCTTAGCATCAAATGATGACGTTAGAGCATGGCATACGATTGTCTTAACACCAAATGATGACGTTAGAGTATGTCATGATTGTCTTAACACAAAATGATGACATCAGAGTATGGCATACGATTGTCTTAACACAAATGATGACGCAAGGTGATGACATAAATTTCTCGTAACACCAAATGATGACATAATTCGAGACTGCGGAATATGTTAAAATAAATCTCAGGTTCAGTTTTAGTTGATGTTATCATATTTGGGCATTGCTGACAATACATGCTTCGTTTTGTATTAGCAGCATCAGGTTTCCACTCACTCACTCACTCACTCACTCACTCACACAGACATGGTGAGTGAGTGAGTATGATTTTACACCGCTTTTAGCAATATTCAAGAAATATCACGGCGGGGGTCACCAGACATTGGCTTCACAAATTGTACCCATGTGGGGAATCGAACCCGGGTCTTCGGCGTGACATATCGAATGCTTTAACAACTAGGCTACCCCACCGCCCCGCACACAGACACAGACATAGACACACACACACACACACACACACACACACACAGAGACACAGAGAGAGAGAGAGAGAGAGAGAGAGAGAGAGAGAGAGAGAGAGAGAGAGAGAGAGAGAGAGAGAGAGAGAGAGAGAGAGAGACACACTCACAGACACACACAGGCACAAATACAAACATACATACATACACACACACATACATACATACATATATACATACATACATACATACATACATACATACACACACACACACACACACACACACACACACACATACATACATACATACATACATACATACATACATACATACATACATACATACATACATACATACATACATACATACATACATACATACATACATATTTCGTTAAATGGTGTTTCCCACACTATCTATCTGCCTGTCAATATGTCTATCTGTGGTACGATTGTTATGTGCGAAGTGCATTAAGGTCACCTTTCATAAATACATTCATGTTCAGCTATCAAGCGTTGCTATACGGCTCATTAGGCCTATGACTGTGACGTCATAAACAAGGTATTTAACGTTGCATGTTGATAATGTCTGATTCTGATGAGTAAGCAGACCATACGCAGTGTTGCACCACGTTAGCGTCATCTGTATGTCGACTACAGGTTGCATACAATGTATCGGAAAGATCAATACGGATTCCTTGAACAAAAAGAAACACATCAGAACAGGCCTTCCAATTTACCACACATGACAAAATGGCTTATTTCCTCCCCTCGTCTGAATATTTTCGAAAAAATCAATTATACTTAATAAAAAAAATATTTCAAGGGCGCAGATCGATTTAATGCATATGAGGAAAAAGATATAAAAGCAGACATAATTTATAAGTTTGAAACGGGAGCACACATTCAAGGAAACCGGGTTTTAGATAACCGTAGACATACTCATATCTCGAGGTTCTTGGTGACAAATTCCTCATGTTGATGGACTCGACTGTTCATGCAATGTTGCATATTGATCTGATGATGACCGCAATCCCGTACAGGGTATAAGAGGGTTAAGGAATGATTGTACGGATGTAGCTTGATTAAATCGCATTTGTAACGTTAGTACCGAGACAATCATGCTGTTGGATGTCTTTAGGTACGGTACCAGTTGTTAAATACCGGGTGACACATCCGTCGCATGATGCAAACGAATGATAATGTGACTGAATTCAGGAATGTATTGCGTGTAACTGCTGATATTATAATATTATTACAGCATGGATATGCCCGTAAGTGCTATGTCATATGTTTGTGTTTATAGAGAATTGAGGGAATGAAGAGCAGAGAGGCTAAGCGTTTTGGAAGAATTATGACCAGGATATTGGTCCAGGGGAGCAAATACCCGCCCAGATGAAGAATACTATTGCCACCGAGAAGCGGACTTCCAATCACTACTGGTAGGCCCGATCAACCCATGATATATGTTTTAGGGTTAAGTACAGCTGCGTCTATTCTGTTGGTACATACTGGGATAATGTTACTAATAATGTGTCATCACAAAATCAAACCTGATGTTTTAAGAATGATCACTATTCAGTTTCTGGCCAAAACATATGTCCATATGACACACTGCTATTGCATGTGAGGAGATAATGGCTCATATTTATTTCATACACATGTGTATTTGGTCTGCATGTAATGTGTCTTATCTTTAACTGACTCACTGACTGAGTTTGGTTTTACGCCGCTTCTAGCAATATTCCAGCAACATCACGGTGGGGGACACCAGGCCCCGATTTCTCGAAACAAACTTAAGTTTTTACTCAAATTTCAAACTGAGTTTGACAATTTGAAACAGCTGAATTTTTAACTCAACTGCATTTTTTAACTCAAAAAAGCCCAAACAACTTAAGTAATCTATCCACCAAACTCAAATTGTCTGCTAAGTTTGAGTTCAATATTGATTTCAGTTTATTCTGGGAAATGCATTTTCCTGCGTTTTCTCAAATTTGAGTAAAAACTCAGACTTAAGTCAAAACTCAGACTTAAGTTTGTTTCTAGAAATCGGGGCCAGGAATGGGCTTCACACGTCTTATCTTTCAAGCATGCACTGCATTAATACCACCTCACAAGTAGTGGAATATTATCATTGGACAAAATGATACTAAAGCTTATGGTAGAGACATAGAGACTTATGGTAAACTTTGTAAACGTCAAGAGCTGATGTAATCAAAGAACTGAGTAATCATATACACAGTCAGATCATTTATTATACGATCTGAATGTGTATCATTGTTCGGGAGTGTAAACATTGAAAAAACCCATCATGCCACATCACGTTTTTGTCTTTGTGTACCTGTGTGTGTGTGTGTGTCTCTCTCTCTCTCTCTCTGTCTGTGAGTGTGTATTTGTGTATAGACACATTGTGTTACATGTACAAATGCTAGACACACACACACAGACACACAGAGCTTTATACATATATTGACTGACGGATGTTTTTCGTTTAAAACGTTAGTCGATTTGGGAAATAATTCATTTCCTTTTCCTGTGTAAAAATTCTCAGCTTTCTTTTTTTAAATGATGGATTTGCAAAGTCGATGTCTGTACATGAGTGATAAGACATTGTGATGAATGGCCGTCATAGGGCACAATGCCAATCAATGTTCTGTCTCAAGGATTCATGTTGTTATTTCGACGTCATTGTGTAATGTCTATCATTATTCGCATACTAATCAATACCAGACTGTCATCATAGGAACACTGCGACTACGTTGTTAAAAACATAAATTGGGTTGTTTTTGAGAATCAATGACAATTGTTATGGCTTAACGCCATCTTACTCGTGAGTCGTTATCTGTGGCTTGGCAAATATCCCGACAATTTGTCATCTCAATCCACTTCCTCACAGTCATTTCACATCAACATTGTGAGTAGGCGCTGTTCCAGATATGAGCGCGTGTTGTATTGTGTTAATAACAGATAATAGGCGTCACCTATGAATGCAGAAATGGTGAAATATCGGAGTTGTGAGTGGCAAAAACACTGAACACCGAGCAAAGTGATATCGCTGAAAGAAGCATCACCTTTGAAAGAACATTTAAGTGAACAATACACAATTATCTTTGTCAAAATATATACATTTATTTCACTTTCTATTATGACATATCTACCCTTGTGTGTACATAATGAGCGTTAAAACTTTATGTAAAACATGTGTTACGTTTTATGAGTAATGCTGTTAGTCACTGAAGCCTGTGAGACAAGCAAATGGTGTTTCATGAGGAACAATGTTTCAGTACAAAACGACATACCAGAATTTAGATACCGTCGTGGATACATCATCGTGCAGATTTCATGATATGGAAACCTTGCACAAATAATATTAAGCAAAATTGTATTAACAAAACAGTTGAGAAGAATACAAAATGATACATGTATGAAGCAATTTCCCGTCTCATCCTGGTGAGACATAATCAAGATGAAATTAATTACAGCACAAATTGAGCACATATATATAGTTTACATAAATCTAATGTGTTAATCTGATCATACCGAGAAAATGTCAGTACGTTACATACATAACAGCTCGACAGAAATTCTAGTTTGCACATTGCCAGCAATATTTCAGCATTATGACGTCGATCTGTAAATAATCGAATCCAGACAATCCTGTGATGGACATTGTTAGCATTTACGGAATCTGGATAGAACGCCATGTATCACCTCATTCCATTAGTCGCCTCTTACGGCAAGCATGGTTTGCTGGATCTGACTCCAATGTAGATCTTAGCAAGGGTCATACAAACTAGGTTCTCAGCATAACAAAACGAAAACTCACATGACTATTGCTTAACAAGCAGTGTTGTGACAAATTTTGTGCATTAGTTATCATGTTACACATGTACAGATGTGAAAAACATTTGCTGGTATATTTGTAAGGACCCAAGAATTACCCTTTGTTTCAAAACGATCAAGTTTGAAATATCACAGAATGAAAAATAGCAAACGTTTTTGCAGCCAGGTAATACCATATACATGATAATGGGGTGTGTTTTTCAAATAGATTAGTACAATAGGTTTAGTTACACTATCAGTGAAGGGTTAACATAATTTTCAATCTGTTTATTCCCTGTAGAATGCAATTGGCATGCCTTCCTTGAACTTGAATCAATAAGGTTCAACACAAATACATGCAGTTTCAACCGTCATCTTTTGGCAAGAATGGTATTACATCATTCTGTTTTAAAGGCCAAGACGACTGTCGAAAATCAGTTCATCCCACCACTCACAGATCACGGGCTGTAGTCACTAATGGCTGTCGTTTTAGTCATTGGGCTGATGATAAGAAGCACAAATGTTGACACCAAGGTTATTGTCAAGAAGATGGTGAAGAAGAACTTATCCATCACTCGAGCAATTTCTTGCCATTCATTCACTGCCACTCGTTCAGCGCGGCCCCTTTCATATGCTTCCATAAGAAGTCTCAAATATCGAACTATTTCTTTCTCCATAGTAGCTACAGGATTAGAACTTGGGACACCACCATTAGACGGTGTACCGCCAGCTCTTGGTCTTTGTGCTGACTCCACGAGGCCGTTCATGTGAAGGTCCAGCCTATGAGGATCATGCTGATAGTCTGTCCTTACATTGCTGTCTGCTGACTGATCTTCGTGAACCTCTTGGAAGCTTGGTCTGCTGGGCCTCTCAGACCTACCGAGATAGTTGAGTCGCATACAGAGAATCTTGCCCACAATGTTTGCTATGAACTTGATACATACGGGAGGGCGGTTGAGCAGGCCCCCCTTGTGGTGGCAGTTGAGTACAAATACTGACAAGGCAACAGAAATGGCACTCATGGCCATTATGACGGTCAGGTAGATACCTGCAATGTCAAAAGGGACGATGAAAGAATTTAATGACCATAAACTTTGAAAATGATGCTTGACAAAATATGCAATGGATTTTTACATACTGCTATCTGATATGGGTTAAGTGCTTCTGTTTAGTTGATATTTAACGCCACATTTAGCATTATTCCAGCTACGTGACAGAGGCGTGTAAATATCCAAATCTGGATAAGACAATCCAGTGATTGATGTAACGAGCAACGATCCACGTCGTTCGGGTACGTTGACACACCGTCAGCCAAATCAACGAGTACAACAAGCACACATTAACTCACATCTTACGAAGAACGTCTGTTGCTAGGGACCAGTTCCAACCCAGACTGGACATGGTTTCCCAATTTAGGAATTCACTCTTACGACTAGCAGTGAGGTACTGGGGACATATTCACCCCGGGCCCCCAGGGGAGGACACTGGATACTTGGTGGTTACTGATTATATTCTTTAAAAGTTATATTTAAGGTAGAAAATAGACCAGGGTCCCGATCCATAAAACGTTCGTAACGTTACGACCTGTCGTAACTCTAGAGGTTTATCATAGGCTTTCGAATGTTGTAGTGCTACGAACGTGGATCGTATACCATAATGTTAGTAGACCACTATTACCACAGTTCTGATGAAAGTTGTACAGGTTGTACACCACTCTCCCCATAATGATATTAACACCAACAATCGTTCATTGGAAAAAGGATACCTAAACCTGGGATTACACATTCATGAACTATTTCACATGATAACATCGAGATTTCCATACGAGCTGCAGTAAAGTATTTGAAACCATCTTTGCTTTGTGTGTATAACATATTCAGCAAATATATTGATCAGTATTTCATTTCCCTTCTAAGTAGCACTTCCATAAAATCAATGATGAAAACGTGCCGTGTTTTTTGTTTATAGCTAGATGTACGTCTTATGAGATATAACTGGAGAGGACGCACAGGTTAGGGACTGTCTCACATACGTATTCATTTGTGTTCGTCGGATATAAATGGTCTCATTTGAATAGGATATAAGATAAATAACACGTATAATATCTATTCATGTTCTTGTATATGCGGCCAATCATGTTATAGGGTATCAAGTTCATCATGGCATTGTCATATTGTATCACGCTCGCACGGAATACACATTGTCATTGAATCTGTTAAAAGCGTTGAACCTAACTCACTCACTGCAATGTCACTTAAGTTAAACCTTTAACACTATCTATCATTTCATTCCATCATGAATCCATTCCTAATAAACCCTTACGTCGTCTGGGAAAGATTCATCTAGACTCGGACGTCTATCACAATATCAGCGGAGGACACCAATTTCACCCTGCAATAATTGGTCCGTATTTCAGGCTATTACTACAGAACCTCGGAATATCTATTCAAGCAGCAACAATGATAACCCAGTTATCAATAGCCCTCATGTCGATGTTGCGATACCTTTTGAAAAGCAACCCTGTCAACCTGGGCTACCAATCGTTAAGTGCATTCATTAGTCTTGGTGCTGGAACCACGAGGGACATTCTATGAGTGAGGAGTAATAGAATTACGACGGCTCTACACTGCGGCACTTTAGCTGCGGATGGGACCATAACTTTGAAGCTATAGGACAACCTAAACTGGCTCTCCTTGTGATACGTTACTAGGTTAAGACTTCTTGTGAAGACGGTAATTCACCACACTCCATCCTTTCCTAATATCTGACACTTTGGAGGTAACTAGATGTAATTTTGTAACACTTTGATGAAATGTAACCCTCCTATTTGACGCATTCATGTGATAACAATTTCGTTTGCGTCTCCTTTGGGGTCACATTGAATCGTCCGTGGTAGTTTGCATAACGAATGGCCAATATGTACCTTGCATTTACAATGAAGCTATTTCGATACTCCGTATGAAACACAAACGACATTACGTGAAGACATCTGCTTCATGTCCAACATTGATGTGTTTGAACCCTATAGGTACATTGTCATGAAGTACCAAAATACCCAGGCAACAATTCCTGAGAATATTACCGGCGAAGACATCTAAATGGCATCTCCTACGCCGTAGCCTCTGGTATTTGATAGGTCTGCATAAAACAACGCATTCGCTGCCAAATGATCCGCACTGGCCGGAAGTATTTGTCTACGGAAAAATTGCCTCGTCCAAAATTCAATCGGAGAAGATGGAGTATAACTCGTTCAGTGTTTCCCCGATTTCTCACGATATATAAGTTCATTTGCGCAGTATAAAATCGTATACCTGTGGTGGCAAAGGCTGCCAATCGATATGCGTGCAATTAGCAGAGGATTGGTAGACAGGAAGCATGTCGTGCCAAGTCGCAGGAGAGCCATGATCTGAATATTGTTGCCACTGAAAACACACCTGTATATACTTATTTAAATGACCGTTGGAAAATTTGAGACTACCGTTCTGGTACGTATCAAATATCGATGTATGAACAAGTCTGTGCATCCACCTGTAATATATACTTAGATTGAATTCTTTGTCTATCTTTTATGTTCAGACATATATATATATATTCTAAAATTTCATTCAAAATCCAGTATTGTCACGTGTCATTGATTTGTACACATTTTTATCATTAATGTATAAACATGATTCATTTAAATAATACTTTGATGTTGCAAATACTCAAAGACACAGGTGAACTACAGTTCCCAATTTCCAAGGGATAGATAATGTGTTCGATGCGTATATCACAGACTGTTAAGAGTCACGTTCGTCGAGATAAATGGGATATTCACATAGTCTGTCAGTCTGTAATTACCAATAACTAGCAATCAGGATCGCTGATAGAATCTCTAAAACTAAAGCGAATAGTCTCAAAGGTTCGTTTACCATTTCCGACAAGAACCGACTGACTGACTAAACGGGCCAGTTTCCATTACATGTTAAATTATACGTATCGTAATGATACTGAACATAAATGGGGGTGAATGTCACCTGGACCAGCTCTCCTCAAGGATGTACATAATAGCAGATCGAAATGTCTCCAACGTGGCAAGACTTCATGAAGTTAATTCTAATTTAATGCAAAAGAATCTGATCCTGGAATGAAGAATGGTTTGGTTTTCAAAACGTGTTTGAATATTGTTAGGCAGTCCATGATGCCCAAGTCCTTTACTGAAATATTTTTTCCACTACTCAAGGACATGTATATGCAAGATGAAGCCCGTGAAACCTTTGGAAACCGTTTTCTGTTGCGTAATTGCGATGCAGTTTTTGATGCTGTAAAGAGGTTCTGTTTTATACTAAACGTTCTGCGTGCCTTCAAGAATGCAATAAAAGTGTGTTATTGAAGCATAAGCGCTATTATATACTAGATTTCAGATCTGAAGAGGTAATAGAAATCGATGATCTGGTATTTTTTGTTTCTTTCGTATGATATTAATCATCTGGACTGTTATCCTATTTTCAAAAATATAATAACATGCGATTTGTTTGATATCTATTCGGGAAAATCACAAGAAGCATGTGGTCCTAATGGCTCAATTATTGTTCATTTAAGCTAGGTTTCCTTTAGTTTCTAGATAGAGAGGGATTATCTATGTATTGTTTCACGTCATTTTATTCACTATTTCAGCAATGTCACACCGTGGGACATCAATACTGAGCTGCACATATTCTACCAATGTTGGGAATCAATTTCGTTCCTTTGTCCTATCACATAACACGTAACACTCTAACCACTCTTCCACAATACTACGTAAAGCGGTAATTATTGTAGTGCATGTCAATATATGTATAATCCCTGTACGCATAAATATTAGGATTATAATAATCAATGTACAACTTGATTACAAATTCATCCTACAGCATCATAATTCAGCTGTGCCAAAACCAAATTTTATTGAAATGTTCCTGTAACATATCAACCCTTGAGCATTTTAAAAAGAAAACATATAATTTGTCCTATGTGCATATCACGGTCCAAAAAAACTGATGCCAAAAGTTTCCAGATGAATTCAGAATCAGCGTTGTCTCTCAAATACTGTTTTCGTAAGTCAATTGATAGAAGAGATTATGAGCATACCCTCGAGGATATACGGAGTAACGGCAAATATTAGTGGTATTCACCGTACAGTGTGTATTCGCAAGAGCCACTTACGTCCTCCTTTGTTGCCAATAATGTCCGCTATATGAACAGAACAACGTGGTAACAAGGTGGACGTCTAGACCTAGTCAATTGAGATGATGAAAGTTTCCCGAAGACGTGTTCCAGCTTTGAATGGTGTCATGTAGAACCGGTTGTCGTTCAATGGACAACATGATTCCATCAGGAGGGATGTTGGAAAATGTCTAATGGTGGGTGTACTTTGACGGGGTAGCCGTCATAGTTTCCATATTTAAGTTCTCTTGGGTGAATCACTTCAACCTCTAAGTAACCAGACAGTTTGGAGACATTTCTAGTCTCGTGTTAGCTTAGATTCAGCTTAATGACACTTTTACCACGAAGAGAGTGCCTGATATCTAAGAATTTGAGAAAAATCATTATCCGGAAAGAAAACTATAATACGGTTCTGAATAAATGTTTGTAAAAGGTTATTGCTAGGTAAATAAAAAGATTTCAGGAAATGTATGATAATCCTCACCAACGATTAGATGTCCTCTAGACACTGAGGCATATCTAATTAATTAACATGTTCCGCGTTATTTATCCTTACCCATAATCCTGTTTAACAACCGAGATGTATCACGTGATGGTTTCTGCCACCGATAACAATGTATGTTTGTGTTCTTCGTTATCATTACTCTATGTATCACTACCATGAGTCAAAGATACGTCTGTTTCTACTATATCCTTACACGCTCTGGTATACACGGTATATCTCTTCATCCAGTGGCATCCAGAAACAACAGCAAATGCACGAGTCCAGATGAAATACAATTTACATGTCTGCTGACCTTTTCATGAGCCGATAACAGTGTGATTTCAGAGAATACACTGTCAGTTACCATGGTTTTGTTTTAATGCCTCGTGAATGGTAAAGTTGATAAATTTGATCTTGGAAGGATTACTACATGTGGGAGAGAGATGGCATACATTATTTAAACGGCCTTTTTATATCAAACCCAGTTACTTTACAGTATTATACTGGTTGTATCAATAACCAGAAATGCGGTTATTCCAATATGTTCATACCCTAAATGTCCCATATTGAATAACCCTTATCTAATATCGTATCTTCTACACACAAACGGGTATATTCAGGAGAAGATGTTCAAGAAATACAGTATTTACAGTATTGTTTACGGGTCTGTTACTCACCTATAAGGGGTATATATTCCGATGTTGGTGGCATATTTTCTGCCACCAGCAGCATAAACACTGAGAACGCTAAGAGTACTGTGAGCCCGAGGGTCACCTTCTCCCCAGAATCCGGAGGGAGAAGGAATCCTGTGAGGGACAGGCTGGACAATAACATACACGGTATTATCACGTTGAAAAAATAATACAACACTCTCCTCCTTAAATGGATATAAAACGTCACATCCGGAAAAGGTTCGTCGCAACAGGGGTAGAATATAACGTTTCGAACCACCTTGGTATCCACTAAAGTCCATTCCCCATTGTCCACAAAGTTGGACAGATCTACCTCCGATGTTCTGTTGAACACGTCCACCTGGAAGCCATCATACGCCCAAGAACCCATCTTTAGACGGCACACCTGGTCATCGAAGGGAAAGTAGGTGATGTCCATCTTACATGACGACCGAAAACGAACGATGGGTGGCCAAAACACGTTACCATCGTTGGCAACCATTGCCAGACTGCGCATGTACCTCTTGTTATGGTTGTCCACGCTGGAAGGATGAGCAGGATACGATTAGTTTCCATATACACAAAACATGTATGCAATACACACTTCAGAGTCATAAAAAGTAAATTTCCAATAAAGCAAACACGCGTATGAGGAACTCATACCGGGAACCGATTTTGGTCATTGCCACTCGCTGTTTAGTTTTGTTGAAATGGTTTTAGCGTAAAACGGATTTAAAAAAACCCCTAAAATTAGTGGTCATGCTGGTTTTGTTATGACCGTAGTCTGTAGTACTTGTTATAAATTGCCATGATTCTCTGAGAGTTTTTAGCTAATAAGTGGCTTTAACGTTTGCATTTCATACATAAACAATGCAATCTTTCTCTGGGAAATACATAGTTCCTCATTCAATGTTAGAAAAGTATTTAGGATTCTATGCAATATACTAAATGCGTTTAAAAGAAACATCAATTCTATTCAAAAGTGCATTTGGTTTTCATGCATTATTCAATATTTATTACTCACACATAAAAGATCGCTTACTCACGGACACTTATGAATGTAGTTACGAACATCAAATACATCCAATGGAGCTATTAACCAGCTATATGTATACATTGAAATACCTGTTGTATAGTACAATGTCTGGCAGCCATAAGAGATCACATGGAACTCTCAGTACAGTGATGTTGGCATAATCCGATGTATTCCATACAAGCTTCTCATCCCGCCATTCCTAAAGGAAGATCAGAACGAGAAATGTCCACTAACAAAAGTGTATTGAAATACAAACCATTGCATTCATGAATGTTATAGAACATATAGGTTTAGCGACAAAGGTATTTTATGTTTGGAAATATGCAAATATCTGGCATATCTAACGTAACATCATCAAGACGTTCGTGTGGAGACGTGGTTTTCAATCAAGTTTAAATATGTTGATCAGTTTAAAGCTTGCTATGCATACTGTAGCTAACATTTTAAAATTTGCATATCAGAAAACTAACAAAACCGCCCATTAATGGACTTTTCTTCTTCATTTATTCGTGCGTGTGTGTCCGTTAAGATAAGCCTAACCTTTCAGCCAGGGCTGCTATAAATACATCCCTCTAACACTAACCGTAGACGACGGCATGATCAACATTTCATTGTGGACGTTGTTTGCAGTATGTATGTCTCCACAGGGATATTATTCCTCTATTCTCCTTACAGTATATCCAACAATACTGTTATCGCCTAGGCAACCTTTAGATGTTTTAAGTCATTGGATAGCCTTCTCCTCTTCAGCAACTGTTCAATTATTCCCGATTAAAGCTACTAGCAACCAAGGAGAAAGTATTTGTTTTATTAAGGCATCAATCACCTCAATTGGAAAGCAAATCTTTGCCTTTTAAGTAGATGTTTGATCGGTGATTTCGATAAAGTGGTTGATCGCTTCCTTCTGAAAGTTCTCCATGGTAGTGCGTCTCTACGACTGATAACAACTAAGACCAATTTCGGGTATAGTTTTTTCTGCTCTGGACTACGGCTTGTATGGTCATTGCTGATAGCGATGCACGTTTGATACTGATTTATATAGGTGAGATACCGCTAGATTGATCACTACTTAACACTGATGAAACGGTTTTGTGGAACGTGTCCGCAGGGTAGCCATTAATCATTGACGTCAGCGTCGATAAGAATTTGATTTTGCTGTGTTCATGTGTTGGTGATTTAGATATTTTGTGGTTTGAACGTAAAAGAGGTTTTTAAAGTAGCAAGTTAAACATGTCTCAAGTTCTCGTCCTTCAGTAGTACCGTTGCATATATGAAATAAAATCCATATATGGATGCAGATTCAAGGTAGGTAATTGGATTAGTTTTCAAACTGTTACAGTAAATACAATTATATTACCATTTTTTGTGGTCACCTGTTGAATTTAAATGAAGAATTGGTTCAATATCGCATAAAGGTCGTAATCTGCCTTAAACATGCATTATTCATTCTTGGAAGTAATGTCGTACTAATATGATATAGAACAGTCTTAATGAAATCATCAAATGTTGTCAAAAGATTGTCGTCTCGTCAATGTCTTCATATATGACTACATGTTTGAAGTTAGAGTCCAGAAACATTTATCTACAACATGTTTTCCCATATTTTAACAACGTGTTAAAAAAACATGTCTTCTTAAAATACACGTTTACCTGCACAACAAGGATACATTTCCCTCTCTAGACCATATTGTGTCTGTTTCAAGTTAGCTCAAGTAGTATATAGTATGTATGCACATTTTACCTGATCTAACCATACGTTGATCGACAGCACTTGATTTTTCTCGTCCTGAAAAGAAGCAAACATATATCAAACATTACCATGCTAACAGTTAACTAGCTTTGGAAGCGCCTCAGCATCACACGCATAACATATAGTGTTGCAATAGACATCGGCAAAAGGTATACTTTATGATATTGGGCATTTAAATTTATCTTCTCCACTACAACAGGAGTGAAATGTTCAGCGATTGTTACTGCTATTTTGACCTTTTTGCTTAATGAAATGTTTCGACTGATTGTTCTCTAAAGTGGACGTGTAGTGTTTACGTCACTGTACATGTACACAATTAATGGAATATTTCCTGTATGTTCTTCATTGGTGCCACAGACCGCTCCCGACCATCCGCCAAAGCATATTATATCGTGAGTGAGTGAGTGAGTTATTATTTAACGTCACATCGGCAATATTTCAGCCATATCGTGACGAGAACACTTGACATTGAAATAGAATATATATAGATTGTATAAAACCCTGCCGACAAAGGACAGTAAAGCAACTAGAGTATCACAGATATACATGTAAAACTAGTCATATTAAATCGAGTGTAGATGGAAAAATAGCAGCAAAAAGTATATGAATGGACACAACTGATCACATAATGAGAACTAACTTCTTGGAGCTCTCAGTTTGAATCTCCTCAACCTATCTCGGTTGTATAGGATTATGATTCTACGCTTTCGTTAAAATGATTGACCAGATAGATTGACACGTCTTCCCCTTCAGATGCTGCCGCTCCCCCGAACCAATACATTCAGCACCATTACTTTAATTACACTCCTCGCGGAAACTGTTACATTCCTGCAAATTCACATATTATATGGGTCTGTGTTCGGGGAACAACGAGTTAATTACTTTCAAGTTTTACAAACACACCAACTGGCCACAGGTGCAAATCTACGCCATCAACAGATTGGCTGTTGAGGAGCCGAGCATACGTCTAGCGCTTTGCTTCCCTCGGCTGATGCACGGTGTCAGCATCACGCTTGCTTTTGTACTTTTCGCAGCTGCTGTTGTTCCTGTAACTGTTTGCCGTCTTGGTAAAGCTAATATTCACCTGATGTGTATTTGTATGTTAGATCTACGTGTATAAGTATCGGGGAATACATAGTTGTTTTCTTACTGTATAGTTCTCAAAACTGTCTATTGTTATCCTACTGTAAATATTCAATGTCACCTCAAAGATTTATTTGTATCATTCATGCATGTCTCATACTGTATACTCAATGATCAATCTTTTATCTGGCTTTCCAATTAATGTGCAACCTTTATTTAGAACATGATCATTTCCACAAGTATTAAAAGTAACATTACCAATATAATGTCTTTTAGAAACACTGACAGACATATTTCTGTCCCCATAGAAACAAGGCTGATTAAAAAAGTACCAACAATACAATTTTAATCAGCACATGAACCTTAAAAATGGCATCGCTTTGTGGCGACCTTCTCCTCTCTTACATCAGTTGGTAAATCCTGTCATCATTTTGTAAACGTGGTTTTGCCGTTAAAAGCCCCCTGTGTACACATCATGATGTTAACGTCATACCAGCACTACAGCCCGCCAGGTCCACAATTGCTTGCCACAAGAAATGAAATGGTTTTAATGGATCGACATAATGTGTTTACCCAGCCTTACTTTGTTCTCCTATCAGTTCACTGCAAACTGGGGTTTCTTTATGACTATACAACTTCAGTCACTTTAAGTATTAGGTTAGTCCTATCTTGAAGCGAACCATTGCCTCTACGTACATGTTCCATTGTGTAAATTGTTTTGCATCTTTAATGATTTTATACACTTGGTCAATATACATTGATTCAAGTGTCTTCTTTTGGCAATCTCCCAGATGAACTCATAGAAACGCTGTTTGACTTTGTGACAAGTTTGTAATCAATCACGATGCAAAAAGAGTGTTCCTTGGCAGACAAAGGATAGTTCTGTGTATCTCCAAAGACCAGTATTACGCTGTTTACTTGTACAGCCTTCAGGAAGACAGTATGTTAATATATGTGCAAAATCATTGCAGTGTGCATGATTGCATAGGACTATAATATGGTGATATTGGCGTAAGCGTTTTGTGTATTAAACTGAGTGAGTTGTGTTGATGCACAGCATTATGTTAGTATTCCTATCTATGACTCGTTAAGATCACGGAATTCAATAACCACGCTTGTCGTAAGACGTGACTAACGGGATCGGGTGGCCAGGCTCGCTGACTTGGTTGATACATGCCATCATATCCCAGTTGTGTAGATCGATGCTCATGCTGCTGAGCACTGGATTATCTGGTTCAGGTTATTTACAGACCGCCGCCATACAGCTAAAACATTGCTGAGTGAGGCGTTAAACAACAAAATAACAAAGTTTTGAAACCAATCCTACCTGCAGCCCCGGAAAGTTTATACATATGCGCGAATAGGACGCGCACAAGTACCATTGAGAAAGATTAGATTTTTTCTCAGAATTATGAGCCATTTCAATTATATACAATGGGTGCAATACCCAATATTGACTATCCCCAGAAACATATTCTTTGGGTGTATAGGAAAAAGACCTGTGAAAATGATATGAATGGATCACTGAAATTTTTGATGACGCCAGGTGTTTGTGAAAAGGGTAAGCATTGTTCTACCCTATCGTCATACACACATCTTGAACTAAAATACGCAGTAATAGCCTCACGACGTAAAACAGTGCTATTGTCATGCGACCACGGCCTGTAGGCTCTGTAGAGATTCCGATGTTTGTGAGAAACGACAAATGGATGGTCGATCGGGCAAATATGGTTCAGGGAATGTGAACCAGACTACAGATATACTTACGACATCAAGAACTTGTGTAAGCGTTATTCCGAGTCGAATTACAACAGGATGGGTAGCGTCGAATACTGGTCTGACGGAAGAATCGTAGTTTTCACGTAACTTCTTCAACAGTCTTTGCTCGTCTGTAGGTCGACCTCTTCCCGTTGTGGCCACTGTAACACAGATTTGTCATAAAGTATAATGCACTGGTGACCCAGTGGGAAATAGCTAGTGGAATGTAAATCATGAATAGAAAATAAGACAAATCAATCTCGATAATCAAAAGCAATCTCTACTACTAGCCACATAAAGAAACTGCATTGTCAAAATATTATCCCAGTTGATAAGTACGATAACAATGTCAAAGGTACATATAAACTTTAATGGAGGGATCATGAGACCATAACAAGTCGGGAGAATTTCAATTGAAAAGTCAATCACAATGAGTCCACAAGCGGGACAGGGGTCAAACGACCATGTCACAAGCTAAATAACGGGTATGTCCACCATCGGCATTGAGAACAGCAGTGCATCGACGACGCATAGAGCCTATCAAATGTGCAAGGAAGGCTTGTGGGATGTCACGCCAGATTCTCTCAAGTTCTGTTGCAAGGTCAAGGACGTTATCTGGCGGATGAGGAAGACGGCGTAGACGTCGATCCATCTCGTCCCAAACATGCTCTATCGGGGATAGATCCGGTGAATTTGCAGGCCAAGGCAGTAAGTCAACGTTGTGGTGTTGCAAGAAATCCATAGCAACCCTTGCCGTTTGAGGGCGGGCATTGTCCTGTTGGAATGTTAACCAAGGGCCATGACATTGCAGAAAAGGAATTGCCACAGGTCGAAGAATCTGATCCATGTAGCCCACACCAGTTAAGTTGCCCCGAACAATCACCAAAGGAGTTCTTTGGCGTGCTGTTAATTCACCCATATCATCACGGAACCACCACCACCAAAGCGATTTCTCTCCAAGACACAGGCCTGTGCATAACGTTCTCCCACGCGTCTATAGGCACGTTGACGTCCATCACTATGGGAAATGTTAAACCTGGACTCATCTGTAAAAACAACATTGCTCCACCAAAACAATGGTCTGCGGACATGATTTCGGCACCACATTCGGCGAGCTTGTCGATGACGTTGTGTCAGGATAGGCCGTATGGCGGGACGTCGTGGTCTGATCCTGTGATGACGTAAACGTTGTCGAACTGTGATGGGGTGGATACGGCGAAGTCCTTGGATGGTTCGGGCAGTCATCACTGCAGTGTGAAGGGCAGGGGTTGAGCTTTCCAAAGTGACAGTATTGTGTGGCATTCATTTGCTCTGTTTCTCTTTCCCGGAATGCACGTGCAACAACGTATTGCACGTCTCAAGGACGAACTCACTGACGTCTCGGAACGTGGCACGTGCATGCATGTTGGATACATGTTACTAATCTCTGAGTTTAAATCCTTATGTGTCTACACAGGTTTGATAAATTTCGATTTTAAATTTTTGTATGCACAGTTTCTTTATGTGCCTAGTATAAAAGCAGTATCATGTACACACACACACACACACACACACACACACACACACACACACACACACACACACACACACACACACGTGATTTTCGCGTTTAGAAATTGTACATGGCATAAAAATGTTCAGTTCACGTGTTAGAGATGCAGTATTTAGAAAAACCACAAAAGAAACGCCCAGGTTAACACAAGACCAGTGTGAGAGGGCCATAGGAACGCTACAAATGGGGGCACCACAGACCCATGTTGCAAGAACATTGAACTGCTCGCGTAATACTGTGGGCAGCTTGGTCCAGAATAACAGGTTGGACAACAGACACGCCCCCTGAAGATCGCTACCTACGCACCTTGCACCCGCGTAACAGATTCTTGCCTGTTACATCATCGACGTCGAATGCTTTGGATTTTGAGGTCAGCAGAGAGACAGTAGCAAGACGACTAAGGGCAACCGGTATCAGAATCTACACACCCTACAGAGGCCCGCTTTTGACAAATGAACATCGTCGTCGAAGAGTGAGATGGGCAAGAACAGTGAGGCATTGGCGACGTCATAATTGGCAGCGCGTCCTTTTCCCGACGAGAACATGTCCTGCATGTTCCATTCTGATGGCAGACAACGTGTTTATCGTCAAAGACGGAACGTACTGTACGTTGTTGCGTTCAAGAGGTTTACCCTTTGGGGGAAGAGTGCCATGGTGTGGGGAGGCATTTGTGGTGACGAGAGAACGCCATTGGTCATCATTGATGGTAACCTGAATGCCGTACTCTGCAGAGATGAGATGCTACGCCCTGTCATGCTTCTATTCCTTCGTCAGCAGTGTACGGGGTATCATGTTCCAACCCGACAATGCCAGGCCTCATACTGCTAATGTCCTGCTGAGCTGACCATTTGGACAGGTATTGAAAAGCTGTTTTGTGTACCACACATGGACATTACCAGGCATATTAAATTCATTGTTCAATGTATTGTTATGGCTGTTTGTTTCAGCACATATTGATAATTACAATACCGTTTATTATGATTTATTATTTTATGTTTTGTTGTTTTTTCGCTATCGAGCATAAAATCGGCTGTCAAGCTTCTTTGGACGTTAGTCTACATTATAGTTTTAAATTTTTATTACATTTCACAGCAGATCAGATGGCGTTCATAGCTCTATACGAATTTATTAACAACCCTCCTTACGAGCCGTTATAAATCATCTCGTCGATGTCATCACTGTCATACACATTATCAATTATCTGTTCATGGATTTGTTCACTCATTTGTCTCAGACCGGGATAGCCAATTAATGAAATACCACGAAGGACAATGGAGATCAGATGGGCTGCATCGCATTTCTAAAAAAGTGACTGAATAGGAGCAAGGAGTAAGGGTAGGAAGGAGGAGTAAGAAGTAACTCCGAAACGTCGTGTTCACAAAAGAGCGGATTTTATATCCCAAACTGTTTGACTCATGTTTGTCACTCACCCCTCACAGAACTGAATAGGACCATCGCCATTATTCCGGAACAAACATTGATATAAAACAGCTTTGTCCCACGTTCACACCTTCTAAATGCCTATCAAAGAACTGAATAGGACTATCACCATTATTCCGGAACATAAATTGATATAAAACAACTTTGTCCCACGTTCACACCTTCTAAATGCCTATCAAAGAACTGAATAGGACCATCGCCATTATTCCGGAACATAAATTGATATAAAACAGCTTTGTCCCATGTTCACACCTTCTAAATGTCTATCAAAGAACTGAATAGGACCACTTTGAATCGTCATCACTAATATTCCGGTACATAAAACAGACATGCAATAAAGGCCTATACTAATCCACATTTACGGAAGCTTGTGTTCGTGTTATTTCCTCATTCCATGTGTGTATGTTTCTACTTCTTAGCACAACACTCACCAATAAGAGTTCTGTAAATAAATCGAGTCAAGAGCAGACAATCCACTGATGGACAATATTGATATCGATCTGATGGCGCACAATGACATGCATTAGGAAGGTCGGCGACCCTGACCATCCGATCTCGTTAGTCGCCTCATACATGCATGGTGTGTTGAGGACGTATTGAGATCCAGATCCTCATGGACTTTCATTCAAATACACAAACGTAAGCTGGGTGATTGATTGTCGTAATGCACAACCATACCGTTGCTCTTTGCACAAGACCTATGATGCTATACCACCTTAATTAATGTCAATATATCAGAAATGTAAAACCTCTCATATTTTATGGACCTGCAAGATGGAAAACCGATGTTCGTTTAACTGCACGAGCTGTTTGCAAGACCACGATGGAACGTGATCAATATTCGTGTTGAGATTGGTCCCCTTAATTTGACTAACGACATGGGCATGGGGTTATGTGTGTGTCAAATGAGGGGTGAGAGTTGGTGGGCTTTCAGAATGGCAAATCGTGTTTACGACCTTTGGTCTTCAGGATTACAGTCTGTTAACCAGCTTCAAAGTAGGTTAAAGTGTTCACGTCGTCGTCGTGGAATTATTCACACCATATACCCAACAAAATTAACTCCTACTGTCCATAGCTCCCACACTGCACTTCATGACTGTCCTGTGGACATTTCCCATCTTACAAATAAAGAGTAATCTCTAGGACTGGCTGATTACGTTGTCTGAGCGAATCTCACGGAGTTTAGAACCCGGCTTCATATTCAGTGGCATACAACCTCCGGTAGAAGTTAAGACAACTGGTGCCAAAGGAAATCTTGCCATGAATGTGAACATACAAAGGAAGCCGCCGAGGGAAAAGGCAGAACGTCATACATGAGCCAGAAGAGAGAGAGTTTTTGGAAAAAGGTTATAAAACGTACACCTACACACAGAGGATATGTTTTTAAAAATTGTTTGTTATAACGTTTGAGGGCAAGTTTGCATATTCCATTGTTTATTTTGGCAAAGTGCCATTTTGGACACTAAATCAAAGAATTTGTTCCTTCTCTCCTGGCTTTTGGTCTTTACAAATAGTCTTTAAGTACACACGATGGAATGCTCTATTGACAACGTAAACATGACAGACGGGTATAGGGAGCGTGGGCCGTGTTAGAACTGTAGGACTCCGACTTGGTCTGTGACTGATGTGCATTGCGACTCTCATGTAATCTCATAATAGAATTCATTGCTGGAGCAGGTTTGCTGATTTACGTACTTCCTAAACTTTGATGCTTAGTATTTAATATAAAGCTGTGACGTAAAATGTCTCATGACAACAGCGTGAAGACGATATTTGTCGAAACAGATAGATCAAAAACCGTTTTAGTGCTGAAAGGGGTTTTCAATTATAACTTGAATTTAAGAAATTCTGGTTTTATATCCGATCAATTTCCCATTCGATTCGCGTTATAAAGCGTTTCTGAAACACTATGATTCCATTCGTATTAATACAAAATCTCTCTTTTTGGTTATATACTCTACGTGTTACTGAAATAAGTCAGCGACCTATGTGTACATTGTGTGTCTCATGTTCTCATAATTTAATATGCAAGCTGTGATTTCAATACTAGAAAACACATTTATAAATTAACACAATTGTTGAAGAGAATGAACAAATTTGATGTATTGACACAATTGCTAAAAGGGATTAACACGTCTGTTAATAAGCACAATTGCTGAAAAGAATGAA